ATATATATATATATTTATAAAACAATTGTTTAAAACTGAATTGTGGTGGTTATAATAATGTTTAATGATTTGGGGGAAAGTATCTCTAAAGTTTCATTAAGTGGGTCAAGTGTTTTATTTTGGATACCAATCTTAGTTTTGGGATTCACAGAACTGAAATCATAAAAATGACTTTGTCACTTGAAACTATTTGTTCAACCAAATCAGATGAAAACATTGTACATGTTTTTATTCATTCCTAACATTGTTTCTGTCTGTGACGGAGTCGGTCCTCGCAGATAATTTGTTTTTCATTCTTCTTCTCCAAACTTTACCTTCTCGCCCACAGCCGACTCTCTTCCGGTTGTACGTGAACGTCTGTTGCCTCTCGTTTTATGTCTTGTTGCTATGACGATCTTTATCTTTTCATGCCTCGGCTTCTCTGTGAAGCACGTTTGGTTTGTGTGTAACGGTAAACCCTCCACCTTTTACTCCTCTGTGTCTCTAGACAGGTGTGGTGCAGGTGAACAGACCTCTGGACAGAGAGTGGGTGGCGCAGTACGTCCTCACCATCACTGTTAAAGACAACCCAGAGAACCCCCGCAACGCTCGCAGGGTAACACCCCCCCCCCACACACACACACACACACACACACACACGCTCACATCAACTGTAAAGGCAGATTAAGAGAAACAATCACAGTGTTGGTTGTGGAAAGGTAAAACTGTCATGTGGAAGAAGTCTCCTGTCCTCTGATGGCGCGTCCAACTGTCCTTTCACTGAGACAAAGCTCCACCCCCGACGTCCCCCAGATGTCCTCGTGTCTCTGATCAAAATGTGACGAGCATAAAACTTTCATGATCTCAAAGAAGACATATTCTGCTACTCAGAGATGTCTCGATCCCTGACACTTTCTGCCGAGTTGGAGAAAACTTGTAAAAACCTACGAGGTAGCAAAATATATTACAGCCCAGTACTTACAGAGTACGTACCTGGTACCTACAGAGTCCGGCTCCTACGAGGACCAAGCTGCAAGTACCAGGTAAGCACCATGCATGTACCCTGTAAGTACTTGGTATATGCCAGGTGCATACCTTTTTTAGGTACTTGGTACATATCCCATAAGTACCATATCCAGGCATTTCCAGTTTAGTACTGATACACAAGTACCGGTAGGTACTCTGTAAGGTGCATATATGTACTGCATAAGAAATGGGTAAATACCTGGTAAGTACCTTTTAAGTAGCAGATATGTGCCAAGTGCATATCAAGTACTTAACTTTTTAGTACTCTAAAAGTAGAATGCCTGTACCTGGTAAGTACTTCCCATGTACAGTAGTCCCTCACTACTTCGCGATTCGTTTATCGCGGACTAGCTCTATCGCGGTTTTTCAAAATAAGAGTGGACATGACACACAATTGGCTGAGTGCTGGATGAGCCGCACGATCGGCATGACATTTTTATTTAAAATAAGTTGTTTAAAATTATTTAGCACCTGCTGCACATTAGTGCAGCCCACACTGCAGGAGAAATGTCTTCTTGCTGCAGCTGATCAGCTGTTCTCCGTGCAGAGCGGAGAAGTGGGCGTGGCCAAGAGCACTTGCAAGTGGCAAAGAGCAGAGGAGGCAGGGAGCAGAAATCCTGACATTCTGTCTTTTAGAGCATTTAGAGTTTAGAAACATTTAGAATATTGCCAGTGTGTGGGAAGGGTTTAAAATGCCTTTATATATATCGTGGGTCTTCAGGGTACGGATCCCCCGCGATAAACGAGGGATTACTGTAACAGGTATGTACTAAGTGTGTAACAAATACACATTTACTGCACATACCAGGTGCATACCAAGTAAGTACTCTATAAGTAGAAGGTACGTACCAGATACATATATTTTAGGCACTCTAAAGGGACCATGTACATACTTGTTAAGTTCCAGGTACTTATCTGGTACCTACTAGGTACAGTTCTTGTAAGTACTCTGTAAGTACCAAGTAAGAACCAACATAGCCCTTATTTACAAGGTGCATACCAGACTGTTGCGTATAACTTTACAAAACTATGTATTTTTTAAGAATACTCAACAGTTTTGCTAATAATATTTTAGACAAAATGGAATCAGTGGTATCTAACAAAGAAATGATGTTTACCTCCACATGTGTCACATGGGACACGTGTCCCATTAGCATATAAATATATAATATGTTATAAGATGATATAATAAAAGTACAACAGGTTAGAAAATGAGGGCAAAATGCTGAAGGCAGTCGTTAAACACGGTTCATCATAAAGTTTTAAAATGTCCCGTCTTTGTTTCTATTTCATACGAAAGAATAAAAGTCTACAAACATCTGTTCTTCAGAGAGGATTTCAAAATATCCTAAATATTATTACCTTTTCTTATCAAAGAGTTATCTCTGAAGTGGTATGTTTTATTTTATAGTGACACCAGCATGTATGAAACTTAAAATTAAAGCATCGGAGACGTTCGAAGAGCAGCTGCTGTAGTTTAAATCAAATCCTGACCCTACCCTCACGTCATTCTGTTCAAGGTTACCCTGACCTTGTTGGGCCACCTGAGAACCTGCTGATCAGACGAGCATTTCTTATTGAGGAACAAACTCGTTCCCTGACAGCGTGAAGTCTTCCTCTTACAGCTGCTTCTCTGTCTCAGGACTCGGACTTCTTGGTCGTCACCATCCTGGACGAGAACGACAACAGGCCGATATTCACAAAGACCAGCTACAGAGCTGAGATCCTGGAGAACTCTGCAGCAGGTATCGTGTTGCATCTCGGTCATCTTCAGGGAGGGGGATGTGTGTTTGCAACACCTTGCAGAAGCTCTGTAACCCTGTCTGCACCACTTCCTGCCTTTGTTTCTACACAGCTCGCACTTTTTATTTGTAGGACACAGAAACACTGACGGCTTGTTAAGGTCGGAACGGTTTGATGTAGATCTAAACTGGTTTCAGTAACGGGTCTGACCGTGAGAAGTTCAGCAGGTAACCGTGAAACTGGAGCTGACTCAAGTTCTGACTGAAGACTCTAACCTGCTCTTACTTTGGGTCGTTTTATCAGTTCGATTCATTTAGTTTGTTTATGAAGCATCGATTCTCAATACGAGGCATCAACGTAGAAAATGGTAAATAACGGTAAAAATCCTGGACTCAACCGAGTCCAAAACAAATCCAGGTTCTAAATTATTGACAGTCTGGTTTTAACACGAATCATTCACATCCGTTATGAAACACCGCGTAGTAAAGTTATCTGAGGAAGCCAGCAGGTTGCCTCACATCTTCACTTTGTCTCCGATCCTGAACTGCACGTTGGAGACAGTGGAAAGAAAAGACTCCCTTTAAACGGGAAGAAACCTCCAGCAGAACCAGAACCAGAACCATGAGGCTCAGGGTGGGTGGCCTTCTGCCTCGGCCAGCCGAGGCTAGAGAGGACAGGACAGAGACACAGACGAACAAAGAACATCTGGTCCACATGTAGTTTCTATAGTCCAGGTGTGGTTTCTATGGTCCAGGTGTAGTTTCTATAGTCCAGGTGTGGTTTCTATGGTCCAGGTGTGGTTTCTATGGTCCAGG